CTCCAGTATAGTATTTTTTTTAATTTTGAACAATGTTTTCGTTCAAATTTATCTTTATATGAAATTGCGGCTATTTTTGAATGACCACTTGTAAATCGGGCTATTTTTTAATTTTTTCCAAAATATCCAGAGTGTCGGCGGGGAAAATCCAATACACATGCAGTAGGAGCTTTACAGCTAAACGGTGGCCCACAAATTGCAGCCCAATCCAGCGGCTCAAAAACTTTTAAAAAATGGCAATTACATCACTCACATGGTTGTGGGCCCTCAACCATTTAACTCGTAGCCGTATTTCACGGTTGGCCTCTCATCTCTTAGCTGTCTGCTATCAAATGTTGTCATAAAATATTAAATGCATCAATGGGAAAATATCCCATGTGCCTCTTAAGTTTAACCAGTACACCATGAAGTATAGTTCAATGGGAAAATTTTACTTTGTGCTATGTTTGAAAAATGGAGTTCGTGGGATTCAAAATCTTGAGTAAGGTAAAGCTTTGGATCCAGAAATTTCACTTTTAGATATATGCAATTTCGTGTGAGCACAAAGTAAAAAATTTCAATAAATGATGAGAGATCTTTTGTTGCTTAATCAAATGTCCAATTTTTTGCCACAAATTACTAAAATAGCTAATTTGATACTACTAAAGCACAAATATCAAAGTGTCAAAGAAATTCAAGTACATAAGTTGAAGGGAAAAGAGAAGGGTAGCTTTGACATAAGCTGCGGTTGATTAGGAGGTTACGGGTTCGAGTTGTGAAAATATCTTCTTGCAAAAATACAGGGTAAGGCTGCGTACAATGACCCTTATGGTCCGCTCTTTCTTCAAAGAAAGCGCATAGCGAAAGCTTAGTGCACTGGACTGTCCTTTTAGGAAATTAGACTGACCAAAAGGTCCTAAAGCCCGTCAATCGAAAATAGTTTCTCTATCTTTATAGAGTAGAACCAAACCACAACCTTATAAAATGTAAGATAACAACTTTAGCAGTAAATTACCAATCAATTACAACCTTACTTGCTTATGCTATACAAGTGTCTTTATCATATATGTATTCCAAGGAATCCAATAAACAAAGTGCAAATGCGTTTATAAGAAAGCATTTAATAACAATATTCTAAACAAGGGATAAGGAGCTCTCCAATGTTCTTAGCTTCTCTTCCCCAAGAAAAATATTCAATTTTTTTTTTCCTTTTTCCCTTTTCTTCACCTTTCTTGCGGTGATTTTAAAAAACATAAAATCAAAGAAAAAAAAGTTTCTATTAAAAGAAGAAAATAAAATTAACAGAACAATCACTTTACAGACTTTTCTTGACTATAGCCGTAATAAGAGAGATACCACCTAACAAATTTTCTCAACCCGGTTTGCAAATCGGTTGTCGGTTTATACCCGAGTTCTTTTCGGGCCGAGCTAATATTTGCATGCGTAAACGGAACGTCGCCGTTTCCTAGCATATCCACAGTATGCTTCTTAGCTTTTACCTTCAAATGCTTCTCCAACATCCCAACCATCATCGGAACAGTCACCGGCGATGTATTACCCAAATTAAAGATCCGATAAGTAGCGGGACCTCGTTTCTTTCCACCCGACCCGGTACTCTTCCCTGCAGTATCTAATGATCCAACACATCCTTTCACAATATCATCAATGTAAGTAAAATCCCGGGCCAAGTCAACCCGATTCTTACCCCGGTAAATTGTAATCGGCTTTCCTTGTAAAATATTCCGGGTAAATGAAAAATAAGCCATGTCGGGTCTGCCCCATGGACCATAAACAGTAAAAAACCTCAATCCAGTAATTGATAACCCGTAAATATGATTGTACGTATGAGTAATTTCCTCACCAGCTTTCTTTGTTGCTGCATATAATGAAGCGGGTTGATCAGTCCGATCCGATTCAGAAAACGGTACCTTTTCATTTAACCCGTAAACTGAACTGGAGCTGGCCCATACAATAGCAGGTTGCGGGTTAGCATTTTTGCAAGCTTCAAGAAGTGTAACAAGTCCAGCAATATTACTATGAACATAAGATTGAGGATTTTCCATGGCGTATCGCACACCCGCCTGCGCAGCTAAATGCATAACATGCGTAAATGCTACAATATCAAAGAGCTTTGCTAACATGCGCGCGTCGTTAATATCACCTTCTACAATGAAAATATTTTGAGAATTTAACAGATTTTTCCTTGCTTTTTTCAACGAAGGGTCGTAGTAATTGTTGAAGTTGTCGAGTCCCACGACTCCATCGCCTCGTTTTTTCAAGGCGAGGGAAACGTGGGTCCCAACGAAACCAGCTGCACCGGTTACCAGTACGGACATGCCGTTGACGCGGTGGATTTGGGCGGAGTCACGAACTTGTTTCTCCCAATGAAGACTACCCCACGTTGAGGAAAGATACCGGGTACCGGAATCCATAAATGATTGAAAACTCAAATACGACGCCGTTAAAGCTATTAAAAACAATGCCCATAAAAACATTGTACTTGTCGAAGCGAAACATCTATGGAATTGCCGATTTACAGAGTAATAAGTTTTGTCCTTGAACTTTCCTGGTGTTGATGGATACAATTGCTCCTCCAATGGCCGCATTTTCTTGAATAAAAAGAGAAAAAAAGAAACTTCTGGGGTTGTTTTGTAATTGAGAGAAAATTGGAACTTTGTTAGATGCAGAGGAAAATGGTGGATTTTTTGAGTCTGCACCTGAGGAAAGAAGAGGAAAGAAGAGGAATATATATATTGAAAGAAAGCTTCAAAACGCGTTAAAGAAAGAGAGAGAAAGGAAAATATTCAAAGGATAAAGAAATTGGACGAGAGAAAGAGAGAGTTTCGAGGAGACAGCCAATGCCAAGCCAAGCAGTACAAATTTAGGAAACTGGATTTTTGCCTTTTTAGAAAGTGAGGAGAGAGAAAGAGGGGGATGGGTAAAAATAGAAACTGTAGAAAGATAGTAAATCTGTAATTGGATAATATTTTACTTTTAGGTGGAAACACCTTTTTATTTTAATTTTTCATATATATATATATAAAAAAAAATTCTTTATTTATATAATAGAAAATGCTCTAATTGGAAACAAAGAAAATGTTTTTTTAATTAAGGTGCTCTAATATTCCAATTAAAGAGACACATTAAGGTGTGGAATTACAATTATTTTGACATTGTTTCCAATTTGTGACAGAGTAAAAGAAAGCGTAAAATCTCTACTCAAGAAGTAAAAAGTGTATAATAGTAAGTTCATATACTATTCGCCTTTGGAAGAAACATAATATTGCTATTAATAAGAATTGTAACGAAGTAGAAAATACTCTTTTATCTTTAATCAAAATTCTAGAGTTCGAGCTTTGAATATGTAATTGTCTTTAATATGGGACTTCTTATTATGAATTTAAATTTAATCAAGCTCGAATTCGAGTACCTAATTGTTAAGATATACTATTAATCATGCGGTTTAGATATAGTATTGTATTTTATTCTTTATGAAATAATTATTTATTTGATTTATTCAATTTAATAAAGTACTATTTTAAATAGATCATTTGTTACATGTGTGTCATTTAGTTATGAAATAGACAATTTAGTGTATGGAGTCTTAGCTCATGCACGAAAGATTAAATTGTCGGTTCTCATAATTAATAAACTATGTTCACAATCGAATATATTATTGGGAAAAATATCTTGATGGTTGTAGCACGAGATTAATGTATAATTTATCTTGATTATGAGAGTGGTTTTACTCCGACTTCTTGTGCTAGTATACTTAGTG